TACATTTACATAACTATCTCTTTCTTTGATTTATATAGAAACACCTACGATCAAATCAATATCTGGCTCTGTTGATGTAAAAGTTATTAAAAAGAAGTTATGTTTGCTGAAACAAGATGGGAATGAAAAATGTATCAGAATTAACACCAAGAAAAGCAAACTATACGTAACGGCAAAAAGTTAATCAAAAAGTGAATTTAATTTCAAAGAAAACCTGTTTCTTTGAAAACAAAATTAAAGATGGCTAAAAAATTTGTCATTTCTGATAGTTGTAACAGTTTAGCTGACAAACTAAACAAAACAACCCTAGATTTTATTAAGACACAGATTAATATTCAACACAGAAATCCAAAAGGCAAAAGATACACTTTAGATGACAAGATTTTATCACTTTCAATATACAAAACTTCACCTAAAGGTTATGGTTTCTTCATCGATATTTGCTCTTCCATCAAGATCTACTTTAACATCAAGGTTAAGTAGAATTCCATTTAAACCAGGAATAAATTTACACATTCAAGAAAACCTCAAACACCAGTCTACAAAATTAAAAGATATTAATAAAAACTGTATATTAATTTTTGATGAAATGGCGTTAAGTGCTGGATTAAGGTATGACAAAAAAAACGACATGATACTCGGCCTTCAGAAAAATCAGAATAGCCAAACACCAAAGTTTGCTGACCATGCTCTAGTTTTTATGTTGAGAGGGATTGCTAGAAGTGGAAAACAGCCGTATGCATATTATTATAGCACACAGCACTATTCAAACGGCTGATTTAGTCTCCTACTTGAAATGTATTGTCAGAAGTGTGAACAAAACTGGTCTTAAAATTGTAGCAACTGTTTGTGACCAAGGAGGAACCAATCGAGCTGCAATAAAGTATTTGATGTCGAAACATGTAAAATTATGCTGAACGTAATATGGAGAAAACAAATTTAGGTTTTGAAATTGATGGCCAGGAAATAATACCAATATTTGATCCTCCTCATTTGTTAAAATGTATAAGAAACAATTTATTTAATAAAGATGTCATTTTTGACATGGACGGTAATACTTATACAGCGTCTTGGATCATATGTTGCTATGTACGAATTTGATAAGAAAAATGAAGAATTTGAACTAAGAACCCTTGTTAAACTAAACGACAACCACATTAACATTGCCAGAAGCAAAATGAAAGTTTCAAATGCAGCACAAGTCTTTAGCCACAAAGTAGCTTCAACAATGAAATTGGTGTCTGATAATGGTATGTGTATTTAATTGATTTATCTTTATAATGTGTTTAAGTTACTATTATTATACTAAATTATACCTTTTAGCCCCAAAGGAAGTTTGCTGGCCAATGCTGTAGGCACGGCCAAATTTTGTCTATTCATGGATAAGACATTTGATTCAGTTAATGCCAGGACAATCAACCCTGAGTTAGGAAAACCACTAAGAAGTGCAGTAACAGATAAATCTTCCCATATGGATCACTGGAAATATGCCATCAAGGTTTTTGAATCTATGAAGTTTGTCAACAAAACTAACGGTAAAACTACGATACCCCCTTGTATCAAGAACTGGATAATATCTCTTAAATCATTTATATACCTTTGGCTTCAACTGAAAAAACGTAATTTTAAATATTTCTTACCAAGGCAAGTCAACCAAGATTCTTTAGAATGTTTTTTCGGTAGTGTCCGCAGTCATGGTGTCAGAAATATCAATCCAGATGCATATCAATTTGTTTGTTCATTTAAAACATTATTGATAAACAATTTCACATCGTTAAAATCTGCTGGAAATTGTGAACACGATGATACTGATGGAACATTGGACAATTTAAAGCAATTTATTGAAAGTGGCACACATTGTGTCTTAAAAGAACCTGAAGAGAACAATATTATAATTGATATACCCATGTTAGACCTACCACATACATTTGAAGTATGTGATTTCACTGATATGACAATTGGATATATAAGTGGATATTTAGCTTGTACGGTGCTAAAGGAAAATAAATTTTGTAGACTTTGCAAAAATGTTCTTATTTCAAATGTCAAAAATAATAATTTAATAAGAGTTAGAGATTATACAACCAAATCATTACTTTATCCTAGTGAAAGCTTTCAAAAAATAATATATCAAATGTTGTATACAACCAAATATATTTTACCTAGTATTGACAGTGAAAGTATAGGCAAGCAATTGATATTATTATTTGAAATAAATATAGATTTTACAATTAAATGTCCTATTCATGATATAAAATATTTAATTTATGATAAATTCAAAAACTTTTTTCTATTCACTTACATTAAACATATAAACCATATTTTAAATGGTTTGGATAGAAGTAACCATTCAAAAAGTACAGATATTCTTAAAACAGCTTAAAATTCTCATAATTATTATTTTAAACATAAAACACGCAAACGTTTATAATTTTATATTTTGATTATTGAATAATTAAAGTATATAGAGATGAAGTGTATATTTATTTATGATTAAGAAACTAAATTTGACTTGAAATTATTATAAAAACTAAAAATGTTAATGTATAAAATTGTTTTTAATGTGAAGATAAATACAATATTCTGTTGTATCTTCAATATTTGTATAATTTATTTTTATATGAAAAAAATGTGTTATATAATCATGTTTATTAATTATTATCATGTCATTATGAATATTTCTTTTGTGATTGAAATTATTATCAAAAAATAATGTATCTATAAAATTGTTTTTAATGTGAAGAATGAAGATAAATACAATATTCTGTTATATCTTTGATTTTATAATTTATTTTACTATCATGCTATTGTTGTGTAATTACAAAATTATAAAAAAAAACGTACAATTTCTACTGTAAGTTTTTGAAAAAAAATAAAAAATAAATATTTCAAATGATCAATTGTAGTTTTATTATAAATTATAATTATTATGTAAGCATTAGGTAATGATAAAATGACGGTATGACCAGTAAGAACAAACATACCTTATGTCTTTACCTAGTTAGGTGTTTACTATTTAATAATACAATAGTTAAAATAAGTATGCAATGTACAAATTAATAATAATCGATATAACTGCATTATATACTATCGATATAATAACAATCGATTATACAAACTATCGATTTTTGTTGCAAAAGAGATGCACTCGCTGCGCTAGTGTTCCTATTCTTCATGGTATCAGAATAAACTATCAAGTTGGCGTTCTAGGTATCTTTATTCTATGCACTGGCCGATACCGTGAATTTCAACGGTGTGGTCAATTATGTGATTATGGAATCAGTGTTCACGTGTAGTGTGTACTAGTACAGTCAGATGGAAAAACGCTATTACGGTTATCTATAGTTTATCAACGTCATGGAGGTATATAAACTATACTGGAGCGCGCACTGCGTATTTCCCGTCCGTGTAATGAAAAACGAGCCGACGCGGTCGATCGTTTCCCCCACCACTGCAGGGCAACTTTAATGCCATGTACCGTATGGAGTATAATAGTACGACGTACCTACTACCTTTACGTGTATAATACATTATTTTTTTCAAAAATTATTAAATTAGGAATCAATAAAAATAATTTAATATCATTTAATTTTTGAATAGCAAAACATTAAAAGTATTAGCCCTTAGTATAGTATACTCTAATATATATTTGAGAAATACAATACTTATCATTACTACACATACAATATAAAATTAAAAATACTAATGAAAATATTTATTATTTCCTTTAAAAATATTAATAACATATAATTTAACATTCATTTACATAATATCATACTAAAATAAATTACATTCAAATTATAAATAAAAGTATAAAAACAAATCAAATACACTCAATGAGTAGTTTTAACAGTTTAAATATTGTTAAATAAAATTAATTTTGTTAATTTCTGCCTTAATGATGATTTATTTTTAAATACTTGTTTAGAGTTTATTTCTTTGGCATAATGACGCATTCTTATATTAACAAAACATTGACTTAGTGCAGTAAAGAGGCTATACTCATGACTTGGGAACCAATATCAACAGTAATAGGATGTGAATTTGGGAAAAAAAATAGAGTACTTTTGTTCAATATATTTTTTTTTGCTAACATTACAATGTTCTGTTTCCCATTGTTATGTAATTTTTTATTTATAACAACAACAGCTTGAAAAGAGTTTTCAAGCTCTTGAATAATATAAGTGATACACCTGATGAAACTATTTTCAATTTCCCCCGATTTACAAAAGATGTAAAATTTGCATCTTTTACATAGCTATGATCTGTTAGATCACTTTTTACTAATATATCAATACAGTAAGGACACATAACTTTTTTGCAAATATTTTTTACAATATATCCAGCAATATAATCAAGTATTTCATTAGTATATTCAATTAACTGTATTACGATTATTAACGAAATATCCATTTTTGTTCATAAAATATATTAGAATGTTTTTGACGAATTTTAATTTTAATATAAAAATAAGGTTAAAGACAAAAAAACAGCATAAACAATTAACCAAGAGTTCAGAGCCATGAGAACATACTACGTAGTGGCCGGCGTGTGGTAATCTTTTGCCCTGCAGTGGTGGGGGAATCGTTCGAACGCGTCGGCTCGTTTTTTGATAACGAGTGCGCGCTCCAGTATAGTTTATATACCTCGATGATCAACGTTGAAATACTTTCGCTGATTATAAATATTTGGTTTTGATAATGTGATAGTTGTATTCATGAAGATTAGAGCTGATAAGGAGAACAAACTCCTATAGCCGCTCGTTTATAAAGCGGCCTGTCAAATAAGTCGCACGGTTATTCTGCCACCAGGAGCTCTCTAATCTTCATGGTTGTATTATACGTATAATATTATTTTACATAAAAATGTTTTAATTTAAAAAATATTCAATAATGTTTACTATCTGTATTTAATTTTAGATTTATATATTATATTTTTTTATACTAATGTATTCAGGTAAATTACAGATAATGAATTTTTGGTATACATATGATTATTGTTGTGAACATATTCAATATTATGAAGAACAGATTGTAACATTAATGAAGATAATTGATGAAAATAAAATTAAAGAGAGATACGAATATAAAAATCTTAAAAAAAAAATTAGAAACCTCAAATATAATATTTATTTAAGTGGAACAAACTCTAAGCCGAATTTTTCTTATATAAAAGAGTTAAATGCTAAATTAATTTTATTAAGAGAAAAAAAAATAGATATATGTCGAAAATATAGTGATTTATATGTTACAAATTTTCGAAGACGAGAACACTGTTTTGGTAAAAGATTAGATTTTATTACAACCGCAGAATCTAAGCGCGAAAGGTTTAGATCAGGTTAAAAAATTTTTTTTTAAATTATGAATAATTAGTAATTATATTATAAATTTATATTTATGTACACAGGTAATCAATGTTTTTTTTTATAGTTTATAATATAGTATTGTTGTTTTCTTTACGTTATTATTAAATTATTCATTAATTTCTATAAACTAAATATAATCATTGAAAACTATAGCTTGTACATGATCTGTCATCATAGTTAATTTTTATTTTGATATAAATGTTTATATTATATTTGGTTTCATAAAATATTATAAGCATTTATATATGAACTAACCTCAATAAAGAAACATTTATATTTATATATATATATATATATATATAGGTCAGTCAGAGTGATTAATCACTATGTCAGAAAAATCACAAGAGCTGTTGAGATCTGCGACAACAAACAAATATATGAATGTTTATGCAAACTTTTGAAACTTCCGATGACTATGGAACTTTTAGCAGCCACTGAAATTGGTCGAGTAGTCAACAAATTAAGAAGCAGAGGTGGAGTCGTAGGCAAATTAGCAGAAAGAGTGGTCATAACATGGAAATATGTTGTAAAAAAAGAGTTAACCGAGCAATATTTTTCTAAGGAGAACTTTAGTCCTTAAGAAATATCAATAAATTATGATTAACATGTAATATTTTCTTATATAAAAAGTTAAATATAAAATAAAATAATGAATTTTGGACATTAATATACATTATTTTATAACTAATAGTTAGTTTACAAATTATATTCATTTTTCTAGAATAAAAAAAAAATGGAGTCATCACTAATAACTGAAAAAATCAACGCCATCTTGAGACAACGCAAGGAAAACGAACAAGGCATGAGAATAGCCAAATTCAATTTTAGGAAAAATCTGAATTATATTAATATGAAAATAGCGAAAGCAAGTTTAAAAACAACTAAAAATAAATTAATAGAAGAAAAACAAAAAATATTAAATGAATATAAAAGTTCATTATACATTGACTTTCTTTGCGAAAAAAGTATTCAAAGAGGGCTCAGCGATTTGTATGAACAATTAGACAGTATATAATAATATAGTTACTGATAATATTCTGTTTTTCGAAAAATAAAAATCAATATAAATAAATTATTTTTGTTATTATTTATTATTTTATCTTATAATTATATATCGAATGATATTGTAGTAAATTATAACCTATATCATTTTGTGTATATAATATCTAACGAAGGATAATAAATGTTTTTAATGTTTAATACTGTTCAAGTTTTACAATCGTACAAATAAAACTAATTTAATAAAAATTTAGATTAAAAAAAACGTATCAATTTTCTAACATAATGAGCGTATAAACAATGTACCAGTATTAATAGTTAGTTTTGAAATTCTATGTAATTTTCAGAATCATGAGCTCAGAAATAAACATTATTAAAAGCAGAATTCTAGCAGTAGAACAACAGGTGCGTGCAAATAGACGCTATTGTAACGAGAAACAGAAAGCATTTCGGAAAGTAATTGTAAAAATTAATAATAGTATGAAGAAACATTTAAATTTAAAAATTGAGTTGATAAATGAACATAATAGATTCCAAAACTATTCAAGTGAATGTAAAGCAGATCTTCAGTATCGGTTAACAGAACTAAGCAATCGGTTAAGAGAATTAGAATCTGAGTAATTTCTTATTGTATTAATCAATTTTTTATAATAATTTAGAATTAATACTATTATCATATTTATGAAAAAAAAAAAAAAAAAAAATTCTAAATTGCTTGCATAAGATTTTTTTTTTTTTTAAAAAGAAGTTGATGTTATAATAAATTGTTACAATATTATTATTATTGCTTATACCCATGTTTTTATTTAATCTATTTTCAGTTTCACAATGAAAAGAAAAACGGTTACAAAACGTCAGCGGATGACATCTTCTGATGAAGGTTTATTTGAAATTGAAAGGTTTAAAAAATGTTCGAAAACATTTATGATTAAGAATACTTTAGATTTTATAGACTATATGCTTTTTTTAACTATGTTAGAGATAAATTAATTTTAAAGTTAAAACAATCATGTTTACAA